AAGGCTGCGTGGAATCTGGATTTTATTTTGGTAGTACTTTTTATTGCTATTATTATTATTATTATTATTATTATTATTATTATTATTATTAAGGTTGTATGGAGGAACGCGGTACCGTAGTTGGTTGAGAAACTATAGTTCAAGCCGGAAGGTCGCTGGTTTGATTCCTGATGAGGTCATTGGATTTTTCAATTTACCTTATCCTTCCAGCCGCAGTATGACCCTGGAATCGACTCAGCCTCTAACAGAAATGAGTACCAGGAATGTTCCTGGGGGTAAAGCGCGCCCGGCGCGTAAGGCTGACAACCTCACCGCCATCTGTGAGCCGATTATCTAGAAAATGTGGGAGCCTCAACGTCTCAAAACCCTATGGGCCTCCACGGCCTGTTACAGGGATGGCTTTACCTTTACCTTAGGCTTGTATATGTCGCTGCGAAGAAAATATCACGTATATAGTTTCCATCTTCTTTCGAAGGATGCCGGTAATGAAGTGAGCAACATTAACAGCTTTGTCGCTTCTGGTATAGCAACATTTGCTCCATCTGTTGCAGAACACTGGGACAAGGAGGAAACGTCAGAATGACGTCTGTTTGTGGAACTTAATATAGCGCAGATATTTTCTGTTGATTGATGTGTTTTGCCTTCACAAGGAATATGTCAGGTCCCCGCTCATTAGCGTATTTTTCCTGGTGTGTTCGTGCTAGCCTGCTGACAAGCACATAACAAGTGTTTAGCGTGGGGTTGCTAGCGAAATTAAAAATAAAGTAAGTAAAGCAAAGCCGTCCCTGTAACAGGCCGTGGAGGCCCATGGGGTTGTGAGATATTGAGGTTCACACATTTTCTAGACAATCGGCTCACAGATGGCAGTGAGGTTGTCAGCCTTACGCACCGGCCGCCCTTTACCCTCAAGAATTTTCCTGGTACTCATTTCTGTTAGAGGCTGAGTCGATCACGGGGCCATAGTGCGGCTGGAAAGATTAGGTTAATTGAAAAAAAAAATCAATTACCTCATCGGGAAACGAACCACCGACTTAAGGAGAAGTACTGAGAGGATTGGAAGAGAAAGCCAAATATTGACCCTGCGAATATGTGCTTTATTAAGTGCTTCATCTGTTGGGTTATACAGTTCTAAATGCTGGATCCACAACCCCATGTGTCCGACGTGTAGACTGGCCTCTCGCTTTCGCCGATGTGCAGAAGAGAGCGACTGTGTGTAGGGCCCTGAAAGTTTTGCTTCTGTAGAACAGATAAAGTTTCAGGAATACATACGCGTACGATCGTCTTTGGTATTAAACATAGGCATGTAGCACGAATGGGGGAGACGAGGAATGCGAATAGGATATTGGTGGGCAAGCCAGAAGGAAAGAGACCACAAGGAAGACCAAGGCGTAGGTGGGTGGATCTTAGAGAGAGAGGATGGGATGGTGTGGATTGGATAAATCTGGCTCAGGATAGGGACCAGTGGAGGATTCTTGTGGACACGGTGATGAACATTCAGGTTCCATAAAATGCTGGGAAATTCTTGAGTAGCTGCAGAATTTGCGGCTCCTCAAGAAGGGCTCGGCTCCATGAGTAAGTAAGTAAACTATTATTATAATTAGTAGATTCTAAAGAGTTCTGACTTTGATGTCTGACAACTGGGTTATTGAGATTTTAGAGTCTGTCTTTCGTTCGTGTTCTAAAGGAAAAAAAGTTTCCGAAACTGGATCTGTTTCCGTCGTCGAAGGAGGTTCAGTTTCCGAAACGTCGTGTCATTTATTATTCTTTAGACTACCTTACGATGGAGAAACTCCAAAAACCCAGTGATCCTCATTATAGTTATGATGAACGGAGACCACAATGGCCGCGCTGTCTAAGGCATGAACCGTCTTCTTCCGCTGGAACACTGGGATCATAAGTTCGAATCCCGCTCAAGGCATTTGCGTCTACGTGCTTTTATTTATGTTGTTCTTTTTGTACTTCGCGGCCTTGCGACGGGTTGATCCCCACTCCTAGGAGACCTACCTCAGTGTATATATTAAGACACTGAAAAGGCGGCCAAGGTCCACAATGGCTGTAGGGCCATAGATATAGAGAGGTATGATGAGAATTTCTTCAGGCAGATGGTATCATTGATTGTCTAAACATCTTTGAGGGTACCTGATGCTTTGAATAGGTAACCTTTGTGGAGAACAGTTCTCTATGTTGAACGAGTTCTCCGGTGTAGTGATTCTGGTTGCAACTGCATTTTGCAAATAAAATCTGTTTACCCTTAACGTTACGACACGTGTCAATACCTGATGAAATCGTGTTTACACACAGGAAGTTGTGTGGAATTTGAGGTTCTCACAGCGGTGGTCATGACGAATTGTGTCTTCCGGGATATAACCCGTGTAGTCCGTTAGTTAATGAGGAGCTTCATAAATTGTACTCTTCTCCAAGTATAATTAGAATGATCAAGTCAAGGAGAATGAGTTGGGCATGGTATGTAGCACGAATGGGGAGAAAAGGAATGCACATAGGATATTGGAGGGAAAGCCAGAAGGAAAGATACCACTGGGAAGACCAAAGCGTAGGTGGGTGGACAATATTAAAATGGATCTTAGAGAGATAGGATGGGATGGCATGGATTGGATTTGTCTGGCTCGGGACAGAGACCAGTGGAGGGCTCTTGTGAACACGGTAATAAACCTTCGGGTTCCATAAAATGCTGGGAAGTTCTTGAGTAGCTGCAGATTTGGTTTCTCCTCAAGAAGGGCTCAGCTCCCTGAGTAAGTAAGTCCAGTTGATTTTCAGAGGAAGACGCGATGTTATATCCTAGCAGAAAACTATTCAGAGTGTATTATTGTTTTAAATGTGTTTGAAGCCAAGAACTGTAAGTACGCAATACCGTGCTGTGATGTGCGGATGTGAAAATCAGTCCACGACAAGAACAAAGTTGATGCAAAATTTGTGGAAAAAGACAATTTTTTTTTGAAAAAATATAACGATTTTTCTTTAAGTATTGAGATTTCTATAACGGTGAATATATAAAAGTTTTGTTCTGGGATTTGAAGACGTGTCGTCTTATATTTAGATAGTAAGGTTTCGAACGAGTATTCTGCCTCCGTCGTCACCTGTGTCCTAAATATAAGCGATGAGTTTCCTCCGACACGTTGAAACGACCTGATTGGCTACTCAGATTCACGTCGCAGGAGAAAGATCTTTCTGTTTGTGTTCCCTGTCAGAGTATAATTACAATAAATGAAATGTAAAAATTACGTACAATTTTTGTATCTATTTTCTTAATAAATACTTATAAAGCGGCACATGTTTCGGGCATATATCACCATCTTCATTCATTCATCAATGGCACTACAGCCCTTTGTTGGTCCCAGACAGTTTCTTCAATTTTAAAATCTTGTTTTTTCTTTACACAGACTGTAGGACTGCTTGGTCGAGTGATCAGCCCGTCACAAGACCGTTACCTACACAAAGAGCAACACAAACAGAGTAAACGCACACAGACAGCCAAGCCTTGAGTGGGATTCGAGCCCACGATTCCAGTGTTCGAGCAAGCAAAGACATTTCTTGACTTAGACCGAGCTGCAACCGTGATGTGCATTTATCATATAGTATACATATATACTCAAGCGGTTGTCGCTGGCTTCCCACCGTGGCGGCCCGGGTTCAATCCCGGGGTATGCTCAAGTGGGATTTGTGGTGGACAAAGTGGTGCTGGGGCAGGTTTTCTCCGAGTACTTTGGTTTCCCCTGCCAATCTTCATTCCACCAATGTCTTCACAATCACCCTCACCTATCATCTGGGGCTAGTACAAAAGGCAGACGTGGCCGCAGTACAAGAGACTTAGTCCCACCCCACTAGCAATAAAGAAAATATATATACATATATGAACAATGCATCAGTAGCTTCTAATTTTCACTCGCCTCCTCACATGAACTTACCAGATTTATCTTGAGGATTTAGAAACAAGCGTTAATGAACTCCTATCACCTTCTCGTACTTGCATGACGTCATCTGTTATTGCAGCCGGCTCCTGTTTGCGTTTCCGTCATCTGGTGACAGGTGAAATACAAATCAGCCAATTCTGTGTGTGGGTATTTGTCAACATTACAGTATTCAACTTAGGGAGCCGGGATAGCGCAGTCGGTATAGAGACTGGCTATGTGCTGGACGACCGAGGGGTTTGAATTCGAGTCTCAGTAGAGGCAAGAATTTTCTCTTCTCCATGTCGTCCAGACCGGCTCTGGGGCNATATACATATATGAACAATGCATCAGTAGCTTCTAATTTTCACTCGCCTCCTCACATGAACTTACCAGATTTATCTTGAGGATTTAGAAACAAGCGTTAATGAACTCCTATCACCTTCTCGTACTTGCATGACGTCATCTGTTATTGCAGCCGGCTCCTGTTTGCGTTTCCGTCATCTGGTGACAGGTGAAATACAAATCAGTTTATTCTGTGTGTGGGTATTTGTCAACATTACAGTATTCAACTTAGGGAGCCGGGATAGCGCAGTCGGTATAGAGACTGGCTATGTGCTGGACGGCCGAGGGGTTTGAATTCGAGTCTCAGTAGGGGCAAGAATTTTCTCTTCTCCATATCGTCCAGACCGGCTCTGGGGCCCACACATCTTCCTATCCAATAGGTACCTGGGGCCCTTTCCCCCGGAGAAAAGCAGCAGGGACGTGAAGCTGACCACTCACGTCCAACTAGTGCAGGTTCGAGACCAGTGGAGTTATACCTCCACTTCCCCATCTGCCTTCATGGCGTACCATACCTTACCGTAACTTAGAATAACAAGGTCTAATTGTACTTACTTTTGGGATGCGTTTTCCCAGTAATGCAACACAAGCGAATACAGCTGGAACAGAAGAGGAAAGAATATTTGTTTGCCCCAATTCCATATGCATATGTTTGTACAATAGTAACGTAGAGAATTGGAAGATAATATTAATATGGATACTGATTTTAGGCTTTCATGGTGTTTGGTCATTTTTGTTACTTATTCTGCTCTTGGATTTTTGCAATTTATGTGTGCAGTGTTACCGATGTTTCGGAGGTACCAACTTCTAGTAATATGAATCTTAGGAATTTAGGTTGTGAGACTGGGAGGTGGACGGAACCGATTCAGAGCGCTTTAAAATGGCGGGCTTTGCACTGAGGAGTGAAGGTTTGTCTAGCTTTTGCCGTTGAGTCCACAGGTAACAAAATATTTTTCATGCGAATTTACTGGGGTGCTGTTGCGTAATATTTGGGTAATTTCAACAACTTTCAGATTTAGACATATGAGGATTACAATATTAATTTGTCGAAATTGAATTGACGAAAAAGTATTTTAATTCTTTAAAGAGCCAGAAGGGTCGGGTAAATTAATGCTGGCGTCGCCAGCACAGTCAATCTTGGTTTCACATCCCGTCGGGACTCGTGTCCATATTTTTGTTCTTTCCAAGAGGTTAACGTGTTTTTAAACGGGGACTTCTATTCAAAGCTTGGAAGTGTCTGACTACTGCTGGTCCTCGCCAGCACAGTCTCCTCAAGATACATGACCAAGATTTTTGTTCTATTCTAGACATGTACGTGTTTCGAAATGGCCCCCCCCCCTTTGAAGAAGGGGGTCGGTCTTTCTGCGCAGGCGCTATGTTTGTTGCGCGGTAGTTTCAGCACGAGTATATCCGCGCTGTCACGGAGTCCAGGTCACTATGGACTCTGTGCACCCTTTGTCACTGCACTAAGTAACATTCATACGAGATATATTGGAGTTTCTTGTCAATGCAGGCTTGTGCAGCAGGTTATGCCTTAAATTATTATAACTATTCTGAAACTGCAGTTTATCAGTTTATGAAGTGGGAACAGGGCTAGGATAATTATTTGTAGCACAGAAGCCAAGAAGAAGAAGATTACCTCTGGATTTTCTCTGTGATAGCATTTGTGCACCTGGTAGGCCTTGTCACAGGCATCCTTTCCGGCTGTAACAAATTTAGATAACAAAATTAGAACGGATGAACAGGTCACGTGGTGCACAGGATTACAAAGGTGTTCCTTGAGGTTTATTCAGCTTAATCCATAAAAAGGAGTATTCGATATAAGTTATTTAAAATCTCCTATATTGAATTTCATCGAAATCGGCGGAAGATTTTATTACGTATGTGGAAAACTACATTATTGATATTGTCACGTGTATCAGTGACTAAGACGCGGATTTGGATTGGTGAATTAGTTTACTGGATATTCAGTGGCTGTAACTATGATTAGTTCTCAGACTCTCAACATTACTGTAACTATAGCACATGAAGTCTTCAATGTCTATAATGTACAATATTAACTGGACGAAATTAACTGATACGTCGGCGTCGAATATTTATATATGTTATATTAATTTATTTATGAACTAAAAACGATACGTTCAACTGAAAATATTAAAACAGCGAACCTATTGGTCATAGCCTATCTGATTCTACAGAAAGCCATCCTTTCGTCCTGGTTTTTTAAGATAACTAAGAAAAACACGACGTTTCGGAAACTGGATCTGTTTTCGTCCTCAGGTGAGGGAAAAACACCTATTCTGTTGGGTCCCTTAGAAAGAGCTAGCCTCAATCACTGGAGGAATTAGGGTTCGATTCCCGGCAGTTGCAAGAGATTTTTCTTGTGTCTTCAGCGTCTAGACGGAATTTGAGGCCCAACTAGCCTTCTTCCCAGTGTGTATAGGACACCTTTCTCCAATAATAATGCAGCCTGGATGTGAAGCTGGCCTCTCAGTTCAATCTAGTACCGAAGTTAAGAATCCGTGGAGCAACTTCTGCATTACTGCACGTTAACTGCTTGCTTAATTAAGCACAGGGACAGAATTTCACCGTTTCCTTAGATGAATATGTTGTGAAAATGTGGATTTGACTCAAGTGGCCCAAGTTAGGGAAACTTCCCGTGCACGTGTGAACGTAGTAAAAAAAAGTCGTTTTTCCCATGAAAAGCAGAGAATTTCTTGACCAGCTGAGGGACTGTCAATGTTTAAAATAATCTGAACTATAGATTTAGTTGTGGTTTGAAGTTGTGGCCCCAAATCTATGCAATGAAGTCTTCTCGATCCATCAAACTTGAAGAAGAATAGGGGGAGTTTCCAAAATTTTGGAAACACAGACGTTGGATCATGTCTTGATCTTTGTGTGGTTGATCATCCGAGGGGAATTCATTGCATGAATTCAGTTACTTAGCCAGTTTAGGTTACTGTGTACGAGTATACAAAGTCAATATACAGGGAATAATCATACGTGTATCATGGCAAGTCTTAATTATGCGATGTCCTTCTTCCATAATCTCTGGCGGCACATTCTGCAGCTCTTCGTCAATGTTAAATTCTCCGTGGTCGTTGAGCTGTGGAGGCAGATAAGATAAGTATAGAGCTCACAGTAACTTCACGGCAACAGGTTAATGCAGAGGTTCCTAGACTTTCTCGCAGCAATACTGCATAAGGTAATAAACTCCATATAATTGTAGGTCCCTATCAGGCTGTACGGTGGCAGCAGGAACCTAAATAGCTTTACAGCCTCTCTGCACCTACAGTAAGCTATAAAATGTTCCTGCACAGTCACGAAAAGTGCAGTTCTGCACACTGTTGCAGGTCCCTGTCAGACTGTAAGGTGGCAGCAGGAACCTAAATAGCTTTACAGCCTCTCTACACCTACAGTAAGCTATAAAATGTTCCTGTACAGTCACGAAAAGTGCAGTTATGCACACTATTGCAGGTCCCCATCAGACTGTACGGTGACAGCAGGAACCCAAATAGCTTTACAGCCTCCCTACACATACAGTAAGCTATAAAATGTTCCTGCACAGTCACGAAAAGTGCAGTTATGCACACTATTGCAGGTCCCCATCAGACTGTACGGTGACAGCAGGCACCTAAATAGCTTTACAGCCTCCCTACACATACAGTAAGCTATAAAATGTTCCTGCACAGTCACGAAAAGTGCAGTTATGCACACTATTGCAGGTCCCCATCAGACTGTACGGTGACAGCAGGCACCTAAATAGCTTTACAGCCTCCCTACACATACAGTAAGCTATAAAATGTTCCTGCACAGTCACGAAAAGTGCAGTTATGCACACTATTGCAGGTCCCCATCAGACTGTACGGTGACAGCAGGCACCTAAATAGCTTTACAGCCTCCCTACACATACAGTAAGCTATAAAATGTTCCTGCACAGTCACGAAAAGTGCAGTTATGCACACTATTGCAGGTCCCCATCAGACTGTACGGTGACAGCAGGCACCTAAATAGCTTTACAGCCTCCCTACACATACAGTAAGCTATAAAATGTTCCTGCACAGTCACGAAAAGTGCAGTTATGCACACTATTGCAGGTCCCCATCAGACTGTACGGTGACAGCAGGCACCTAAATAGCTTTACAGCCTCCCTACACATACAGTAAGCTATAAAATGTTCCTGCACAGTCACGAAAAGTGCAGTTATGCACACTATTGCAGGTCCCCATCAGACTGTACGGTGACAGCAGGCACCTAAATAGCTTTACAGCCTCCCTACACATACAGTAAGCTATAAAATGTTCCTGCACAGTCACGAAAAGTGCAGTTATGCACACTATTGCAGGTCCCCATCAGACTGTACGGTGACAGCAGGCACCTAAATAGCTTTACAGCCTCCCTACACATACAGTAAGCTATAAAATGTTCCTGTACAGTCATGAAAAGTGCAGTTCTGCACACTGTTGCACGTGTCTATCAGGTTATACGGTTACAGCAGGAACTTCAATCGCTTTATATCTATTCATACATAAGTAATTCACATTCATGCATCAGTTTGTTCACTGGTATACTTACAGACAGTAGTTCCACCATAATGCATTTAATAAAGCACTGAAAAAGATATAAAATATTTTATTATTAGTTTCACTTTTGTTAAAATTTATATAGAAAGCCAACGTTATAAGAAATAAATTCCAAAGAAATTTTATTAATAAGTGTATAAATTAAAAATTATGCAATTTTCGTTAATTCTTTACTCTCTTACCGATTTGTTCCTCTGGTCTGTTTAAATGAAAAATTATTTTCGAAACAATAGTTTAAACATTTCATAACACTTCTTGGGCGGGAACGCCGATAGTATCGTGATTTGATCGCTTTAAAAATTTATTTGCTTAAATCCGAAAATCAAGAGGCACTGGGGGATTTTGTGACGTAATTCTTAAAAGAAATTTTCTTACACTCTCTGATAACAAGTTTAGATTTCAGTCAGTTAATTGTCATACACACAGAAGAACAAATGAATTTAATTTTCACGTAAGAAAGGCCGAGGAAAATAATTTGTAACTTGTGTCACCACTAAAATTGTGCAGCCCCGTAAAACCACTTGCCGTGAGGTACATTTTCTATCGTTAGGAAATTGTTGGTCCATAATTCAAAAGTAATATAAGATTTTGTACTTAAAATTTAATATTATTCACTTACTTCTTGGTTCTGGAGTCCCAGAAGGTCACTGACTTACTACAAGACACATGTCTATGCCTTCCCATTAAATGCCTTTTTCCGTATTCCATAATTTTCATTTCTGGTAAATTAGCTTCTATAGCTTTCAGCACATTCGTCTAGGCTTTCTGATTTCCCTTTAAATATGTACATATTAAAAAAAAATTCTTAACCACTCTTGTTTGATCCTTGTTAATCACATGCCCCCAGCCACTCTTTCTCGTCCTAATATATTAAGGGGTTTTATATAATTAAATTTTACATTACCTTGTAATTGTCAGGGGGGTCGACTTCGTCTATACGCGCCTTAATGAATTTTTCGAAGTAGCCTGAAACAAAACATAAATGTGTCAGGTGTTTTTAGAAAGAGTAAAAAGTAAAGAGTAAAAGTTGGATGGGTTCATTCGCATTTGGCATTTAAGAGCTTGCGAACAGATACAATTTGGGACAGTCGCACAAGAAATAATCAAAGAGAAACAAAATAGACACTACTGTGTCAACATTTATTCTTATTCTTTGTTGGTGGTATCGCTATATGTTTCGAACCTTTTCTTGGGTCATCTTCAGGCGTAAATGAATATTGTTTAGCTTCTGAATTGCGTAATTAATGAACCGAACCGACCGAGCTACCGCCACTTGTCGGCGAAATTAGTGCCAACTTCAGCGGATAGAGGGTGTCGCGTGGTCAGCGCAACGAATCCCCACGGCCGTTAATCTCGGTTCTCTATACCGGAGCCGCAATTTGCTTGAAATAGCTCCTCAATTATCTTCACGAGGCTGAGTGAACTCCGTTCCAGACCCACTACTTCTCAGAAAATCTGTTACCGCCGGGAATCGAACCCGAGACCTCAGAATCTGTAGCCAGGGGTTAGTTTATTATTTTCATTTCATGAATCCTGTTGTGTTACAATAGACAACTTCTTTATTAACCGTCACAACACAACAAATATCAAGGTCAGTGCCCAGCTACGGCTCTGCTACATGTTTCGGCTATCAATAGCCATCATCAGGCAAATACACGGTTAACATATATACACCACTGAACTGCAGTACTATTAAACTGGTTACAATACTATTAAACATATAAAACACTTGACGTAAAAAATACAATAAATCAGATTATGTAAAAAAAAAAACAGAAGTTATAGTATAAAACAAGAATAAAATTTTAATTGGTGTTTTATAACATCGAATCAGTCGTTGATTCTGTATTTTCATACGTTCCCATGGACAAATTGGAACATTCTATATTTTTTTCCTTTTTGTATATAAGATTTTATTGGAGGCTCGTGGTGTAGATGTAATAAATTAATGTTAATTGTTTTGTCGGTGCCTCATCTTACAAAGTGTTGTCCATACTGTAGAGAATGTAAACAACGACTCAAGTTTCCCACCTGGGAAAGAGCCCCCGGTACCCACTGGATAGGAGGTTTGGTGGACCCCAGAACCGGTCTGGAAGACGTGGAGAAGAGGAAATTCTTGACCCTGCCAAGACTCGAACTTCGAGTCCTCGGTCGTCCAGCCCATAGCCAATCGCTATACCGACTGTGCTGTCCCGGCTCTCTGTATATGAGATATCTTCGGGAAAGGAACGATTAGTGAAAGCATAGTCAAGGTCAGCTGTTTATGAGAACGTAAGTCCAAAGGATTTGCACCGATTTTTTAGGACTTATTGAACTAATAATCTACCGGATAAAATGATCTTTACCTACATAAAGGAGCAAACAAAGAAGAAACGCGGGACCGTATGTCCAGAGGCCGGATATCTATGTTGGCGGGAGCGCAAGCTCCTGGTAGAGCCACCCACTAGACAGGCGAACGGATATGGGCCAAACGAAATTTAAAACTTGATCTTGGAGGATGGGGGTTGGGCCTGGGGCTAACGACACCAACTTGGGATAAACTACTGTTACGAAACCTCCAGATACTGTGCTGGAAACAACTTGGGCTTACAGCGCCAGTAGGGGCAAGACATGACAAGAGGGATCTCAACTCAGGACCTTAGAATTAAATAAGTCTAAAACATGTTGCAATCATGGTTACAGCTTTCAAAAGTTATATTATGAAACTGTCTCTTTGAAATATGCTCTATTGTTAACCCATGCATTCATTACACTTCAATCTCCTTATGTATTTCTGAATATTATCATTAATTAAACGAATTAAATTTGGTCAACTTCTGTCTGCTCACCTTTCTCCACTTGGTTTTCATTTCTGCATTTCTCGTCCACTTCTTTGGCTCTTTCAAATGCACGGCCCGAAAATCCCTGCAAGAGAGGAATATGTTTTATTTGCATGGAGGTTGTAACATAGTCAAACAAAACAAACTCCGTGGCTTGAGTCCACAAACGAAACCGACCGAGCGACCGCCGCTTGTCGACGAAGTTAATGCGGATAGAGGGTGTCGCGTGGTCAGAGCAACAAATCCCCACTGCCATTAATTTCGGTTTCCTAGACCGGAGCCGCTACTTTTCCATTCAAGTAGCTCCTCAGTTATCCTCACGAGGCTAAATGGACACCGTTCCAGACCTACTACTTGTCAGAAAATCTAGTAGCCGGAAATCGAACCCGGGACTTCTGGATCTGTAGCCAGGAACTCTGACAACTAGACCACAGAGACGGTCTCTGTAACAGACCGAAAATTTCATACCCCTCGAATTCACACATATTTGCATATATGAATATCTTTAAAAATTATAATACTCCATTAGCCTTCGTATTTATTTATTTATTAGAGATATTAGGGTCCTTGGCTCCAAGTTCCTCTTTGATCTTTGCCTTCCTTTGCGATAGATGTCCATTCTCACGAAATATTGAGGTTTGTCTCCATCTATTCTCTTTAATCTCCCATAAATCATTCTCTGTGCATTCCAGCCATCTTAATCTGGGTTTTTCCACTTCATTCCACCTCCAGTTTCACTTTAAAAAAATTTCTTACCAATGTTTGTTTCGTCCGGTCTAATCACATGGCTCCAACCACTCCATTACTCTCAATTTAGTATCCAATGTCAGATACGAAATTTTATATAATTCTCAGAGTTACTGGTTACTTCTAGATCTTCAGATTTCCAGCTCAATTATCGGTTCATAAACCTTCCTCAAATTTTCCCTCTTTCAGGCATTTAATATAACTTTATCCTTTTTAGTCATGAACCGCGGTCCATATGCACACATCACAACTGCTTTTGACACAGTTTCGTAAATTTTTTTTTTCAATGCTCTCTTCACAGTTGCAGTGTTACAAGTATTTTGTGAGCCACAGTAAGGTCAACTGACTGTAAACTTCCGAACTTAGTTTATAATTGCAGCTGTAAGCAACTCTTTTCAGTTATTGCTACTAATATAATCAGTATTTTAAGCTGATTTGAATTAAAAAATATTTTCTGTATTAATTAGAAAAAAAACATGTAGAAGGAAACGGTCGAGGCCTAATTTAAGGTTTTATGCCAACACATTGTTAGTGTGACTCAGGTTAAAATAGGGAAAAATCTCAGATACAGGGAGTTTAGGCGGCAATCCAGCCGAGTTTTGAACTTGTGACTTCTAGAATACGAGGCATAAATTTCGGTCACTCGACCAGGATGTTTGATGTCAACCATTGGCGTAGTCAGGGGGCAACTAGGCATCGCCCCCTTCAGAATTTTTCAATATGATTTTAAGTAAAGATGAAAATGTATCATATTTTTAAAAAATTAAAAATAATTTTTAAATAGCACCAAGAAGTTCCAAGATGATGTAATCGCCTACTTTTCTTTGATACGGCACGGACCGCATAGAAAACGAAACAATTAAGACATAGACACGCAACATGATGATTTCATAAGCCAGCCTCCTAACAAAATCTAGGGAGGGGTACACAGACAGTAAGGTGATCTCGTATGCCTCTCAAGCCTAAAAAAATAAGTGGATACAGAGAGATAGACAGACACAGGCTGATAAACGGACAGACATTAGGGTTATCTCGTACATCTCCTTTTATTTCTTGTAAATAAAGACGATTAGCTAATTATAGGGGACACGCGATAGCGTCGTTGATTGAAGCACTACGCTACAAGCCGGGAGGTATCGGGTTCGATTTACAATGAGGTCATTAGTTTTTTGATTAATCTAATCCTAGCCCCACTATGGCCCTGGGGTCGACTCAGCCTCTAACAGAAATGAGTACAGGAATATTCCCCGGGGGTAAAGGGCTTCCGGCGCGTAAGACTGACAACCTCACCGCCATCTGTGAGCCGACTTTGTGAGCCTCGACGTCTCAGGGAATAAATGTATGTAGGCTAATAATAGTGTTAAGCTGTTTAAATGTAAGTATATAGGCATATTTTCTGTCTCCCCCTCTTGGAAAACACGCTGCTACCACCCCGGAAATTGGGCGCCACCCCTGGAAAAGTACCCCTCCCTCGTCTTTGGAAAAATATTCAGACAGCCTTCCTGGAATCAGCATATTAAATTAGTTACGAATCAATAGGGCCCCAAATCATACAGAAATATACATTTCGCTATTTTCATTTATGTCATACGAAGTGACTAACTTACCAGAGCGAGATCTGTCACTCCCAGAAGCAGCAAGATGGCCGCCAAAGGTGGAAGTTGCATCGTTATCATGTCTGCGCAGGAAGTCACTGTTGCAGTACAGAACTCTATAGAACGTCGCGAGCACTATATACAGCGCCATCAACCTTGACGTTGCCACATCCAAAGGAAACAATTTAAGATATATTATTATTTAAAACATCATGGGAAGGAAGTAGTTGTAAGGCCGGCGTTAACCATCGGGTGGAGAACCTAAACAAGACATTTTAATTACAGATATTTGCTTCTGTGCGTTCATCCCCATGTGCAAATGATATGTTAGAGTAGTTTAGTGAATGTAGACCCCGCCTGTTGATATTCTGACTCCACTGAATAGAGCCCTTTTTGAAAAGCTGACAGTCACTTACTTAGTCGAGAAATTCATCGCCTTTTACTAACCCCAACGTACACGATAACACATCAAAGATCCCTATCCTGAACTAAGTGAATGTAGTCGAGATTCTTATGTACCATTTATAGATCCGTTTTAATATTATCTTACCGTGTGTGTTTACTTAATAGTAATGGTAATGCATTTAAGCTCGGCAAGGGAGAATACGATGGCGCTGTAGTTGAGTTGATAATTGAGAGGGTTCAGTTGCGGGATATTCACTGAGCGGGGGAAGATGAAGAATCTCCACTATTAAAATCCGGTACCAGGAAACGGCCGTTGAAGACACTACAAGGCGGAGAAGATTTATTGTGTAGTGAGTTGTAAAGTGTGTAGGTTAGCGATAGCGCTGTAATTGCCTGTAGTTTAGAGTGGTGAGTATAAGGTGTCAATAAATTCAATATCCAATCCACATCCTGTTTATAGTCACCCCTAAAATCGTGACAATATGACCGGGACTACGTCTTCCAAGTCCCTCATCTTATTTCAGAGTTCTCATTCTATTATTGGCTCGCCCACGGCCGCCGTACCATTTGTTTTTCCGTAACTGTACCTCTCTTCCACGCTCGGCTCGTCACGTCCAAAGAAGATCACTAACATTTCTTAACAATTTATTTAACCATTGTTTTCGGCTTTCATATTTTCCATCTTCTTGGAAAGAAACAAAATTTATATCTTTAGTGTTTGTATCCTGTTTTGTATTAATGTAATTATAACAGCTGTCAACACAACAGATCATTTGTGGAACACATAACCATATAATAGCAATTTACTTTAGTACCATGGCATCTTCCAATCCCTCAAATCTTCTTCATGTTGTCCAAGCAGAGTGGGCAGCATTTACTTGCTTGGCCTCTGCGATCCTGAAATCAGTGGCACCACGTTCCTTCCAAACGTCTGTAAACATGTACTAGACTGTACGGCGTCAGAGTAGAATCGTCTCTATGCTTAATTAATTAAGCACCACGCCATGAAGATATATGGGGGAGTGGAGGTATACCTCCACCATTCTTGACCTCGGCACTAGATGGTAATGAGTGGTCAGTTTCATGTCGGGGCCGCTTTACCCCCGGTATCTATTGGATAGGGGGCTGGGTGGGCCCCAGAGCCGGTCTGAACACTATGGGGAAGTGAAAGATCTTGCTCCTACCTGGAATTGAACCCCGGCTCTCCAACCCGTAGCCCTTCGCTATACCGATTGTGGAATCCCGGCTCTCAACCAACAGTGCTCGCTTTTAAATTCGTTCACAAATAATTAGATTAACCGGGATAGGTGAACTTGAAACAAATATAAACAAACAAAAATTTTCCATTGTTTACGTAACGTTATCAAATAGCAGTAATTTCAGATTACAGTTAGCAGGGCTGTTTGTCCTTTATATAATGTGCCCAGTGCATTATTTATCTTCTTGCATCCTGATGACGTCATTAGTGCACAAACTTGCGTAATACGTGACGTATATACATATATCACGTGAACATCTGGCCTTCTTCAACTTGCGCCTGACTGCAGCGCACCGTCAGGGTTTCGGAAGAGTAGCTGAACACTATGCTACATGTCGCAAGGTTCCGGGTTCATGTCCCGATGAAGTCATTGGATTTTTTCAATTGACCTAATCCTTCCAGCCGCACTGAGCCTCTAACAGAAATGAGTACCAGGAATTTTCCTGGGGGTAAAGCGCGGCCGGCGCGTAAGGCTGACAACCTCACCGCCATATGTGAGCCGATTGTCTAGATCAGCGTTGGCCAACCTAATACATCTCGAGGGCCAAATTTAGTTTATAGAACACCATCAGGGGCCAGATACGGTGTTTCTTTCAGAAGAGTGGTCGGGGAGTATTGCCCCCCAAATTGAATCAGTCACAATCCGTATAAAAACAGTGCATTTAAACCTATGTATTTAAATTTTACGTTCCACCAATAATATTAAGCCGATAATGAAAATTTCACCAATCGATTTTATTGCCTTCTATCACTTCTACCCCCAGAGCATTTTTTCTTAAAGAAACACTGGCCAGATCATGCCTTATGTTTAGTTTTATATATGCCGGGGGAAAATGCAATTATAATTTAAGAAAGAAAAATAAAATGCCTTGAAATGTGCAATTACTTACCATAAAACAGCACAAATTCCTCTTTCAGCAGGGATGAGCACAAAAGACTTTCAATCATAGTTTTTATGGTCTAATGATTATACCTAAATCCTCATATACACACTGTTTTAATGAGAGCACTGTGGTTTCATAAAACTGGAAACCAATGATATAAAATCCACTTCTAATTGTGAGGTTGCCACTCGAAGAATATGTGATAACACGACATCTGAAAGTCTGTTCCTGTTCTTAGACT